AATCGAGCTGAGTTGTGAAGACCGCCCACATGTATATAAGACGACAGAATATGCCGCCTGTTCGTTTTGAATTGTTGGACAGCCACCGTATTCAGCCGGTGTGTTGTATAGATTATAGAATGATAGATCCACGCATATATGCAGTATAATCCTTTTAAAAATGATTTTTCAATTTGATGACTGGATTCTTTTTTTTCCATCATATAGATATAAAATTGTCATTACAGCGCTGAGTTTTATTATATATATATTATATATCTGTAACATTCAATTAAAATGCATATCATGTTCAATTGGATTCATATTCAAATTATGAATTAAATATATATCATTGAAAAATATTTAGTTGAAATTAAAAAATGTAACGGTATTTTTAATATACTAATGGGTTTTTCTAACGAATGAGAAATATTAACAAATATTAAATATTTGGGACATAATCAAAGATCTTTAATTTCCTCTCTCGATGATGACAAGAAGTACCGTGTTATTTTTAGGTGGTATATATATTTGAGATGCGAAATTGTCTTTTGGGGGATGTCAGTCAGTTGGTGGAACGGATGTCGAGTGAAACGGTTGCTGAAGGTGAAGAGTACGAGGAGAGGGGGGGTGGTTTGGGGGGAGAGATGGTTTGTAATTATAGGCTCTGATAAATGGAGTCGTGACTCGTTAATCCCCTCCAATTACATCTAATGGGGGATCGTTTCGCACCAAACATGCCTTTCGTTATTTCCCGATTTTAATTTTATGATTTGCATTTAGACTATACGTATACTAAAAACAAGTAGTATTCAGATAGTATTGAATATACTTAAACAATGATGAAATTTCTATATCTCGATATCAGATTTATAAAATTAAATTCTTTTTTGAAAATGATAATAACTCCATCATCATTAAATGGTAGCTAAAGTATATGTTAACGGTTGATATTTAACTGCGTGTAATCGCATTTTGCAATAGTCACATTGTGTGTTCGATTGTATCATGACACACCTGGGTGTGTGTGTGGCAAGAGGGGATGAGTATTAAACCCTTTGAGAAAGATGAAAGAGAGGTGTGAGAATAAGTCATTGGACTTTATATATACTATATATATACCAACCAAAGACCTGCGACCACCCATTCTACAAACCTGATGCCTTTTGTATATGTAGATTTCACGATTACAAACGGTACGCAAATTAATAATGACCAAAGCAAAGGATCATTTCTCTTATATAAATTTAATATATAAGCGATGATTTTCCGTCATTTACAATATATAAAGTAAAAGAAAAACAAATGGCAAAAAAGTCTGCATTTAGCGCACTGTTGTAAATCTGATTGTTGAAAAAATCAGAACATACCAAATAAAATTGAGATTTTATTTTCTCTATTCGTGCGTATATACGACTGAAGAAATTATTTTTACATGGAAGAAAAGGTTTATTTATTCGGATCAGAAGCAGCAAATTTGTTTTAGAAAACTAAATCGTATAATCAGAAGCAGCAAATAAGTATTAGAAGACTAAATCGTAATCCAGAAGCAGAAGGTTGGTATTAGAAAACTAAATCGTAATCAGATGTAGCAAATAAGTATATTAGAAGACTAAATCGTAATCCAGAAGCAGCAAATTTATGTTTTAGAAAACTAAATCGTAATCCAGAAGCAGAAAGTTATGGTATTAGAAAACTAAATCGTAATCAGATGTAGCAAATAAGTATATTAGAAGACTAAATCGTAATCCAGAAGCAGCAAATTTGTTTTAGCAAACTAAATCGTAATCAGATGCAGCAAATAAGTATTAGAAGACTAAATCGTAATCCAGAAGCAGAAAGTAGGTATTAGAAAACTAAATCGTAATCAGATGCAGCAGAGGTTTGTTTCAGAAAACAAAATCGTAATCAGAAGCAGTGAGTAGGTATTAGAAAACTAAATCGTAATCAGAAGCAGCAAATAGGTATTAGAAAACTAAATCGTATAATCAGATGCAGCAAATAACTATTAGTAGACTAAATCGTAATCCAGAAGCAGAAAATAGGTATTAGAAAACCAAATCGTAATCCAGATGCAGCAGAGGATTTTTTAGGAAACAATATAGTAATCTCAGCAGTTTTTGTTTTAGAAAACTAAATTGTAATAATACCACACTAGGTCCTGTTTGGTATATGCCTATTTTCAATCTGCCTGAGATATATAAGGCAACTTCTGTGCGGCCCCGACCGGATTTAGTGTTTCATTGCGGATTCGAAGCCCACCAACGTGGACACGTTATAACTTTTGCAATTATTTTTTCAATCTTTTTACCAATTGGTAATCAGTACCAAAATCCTTTTTTTCCAATGATTATCACATACAAAAACGTACATCTTCCTATATGACATAAAAATGTTTACTGATTTTTCAGAGACCTTTTTGAAGTTACTTTTGAAATAAATTTAAAAATGCCTGGTCCATGAAATCAGGTCCAGCTTGCTATATCACATATATAGTATATATATATACATATATAGTGGATTATTTTTCTCGTATAGAGCAGAAGAGTTGCCTACCGTATGGGCGGTGGCATTGCTGGACGGGCGGCTCCCAATCGTTTCCCGGGAGCCACCCTCTTTCACTATACACGAATTCCCCTCATTGCTTCTCTCTATACACACTGTTGCAACGATTTCTGTTGAAGTGTATATATGTACAACTATATAGAATATATATACTCTTAGTATGTTTACTCCAATTTGTGCGCAAGCGTCACACATTTCACATATATTTCTTAACATTCAACGCTTTTTATATCTAAACTATATAGGAATTCTAGTATAGAAATTATTTTATTTATTATTAGAATTATTTTAGTTGTAAATATAAATAATCTATGTAAATATCTATTATGTAAGTATGATTATAAAAATATTTTTATATTTACCATTTTTTACCTTGAATTTTTTTGTTTTCCTAAACAGGATACGCAGATGAATGTATTTTTAATTCTGAAAAAAGTATATGATTGTTGATTCGAGAAATCATGTAACTCATTTTTTCGTTTCGTTTTTTATATTGAAGGTCTAAAGTGGTTTCCGTTTATCTTATGTAACTTTATGATATTAAATAATGATATCGTTGGATAAATTACAATTTTAATACGCAGCAATATTTTTGTAAAAATGTTATTGTAAAAAATGAATTTTATTGTTAAATAAATAAATAAAGAATATCTATGCTTTAAGAATAAATTTAGCAAATTTTGTAAGTTGAGAACCCTTTGCGAAAAGAGTGGGGATGAAGCGAAAATGATTGGTCACAGCGTTATCCCCACTTCTTTGCTGCGCGCGCAGTGTTCTCAACTTCAGCTTTTAGAATAATTTATTTAATTTAGTAAACGTATTATATTATTTGTTTATTCTTTTAATATTATTAGAGAGAGGTGAAAATATATAAAAAGATAAAGAGAAGTAAAATAAATGTTCTCAAACTATATATACTTAGAAAAAATTATATAATTTAAGAATATAAGGATGGAATTTTTGCGGAAATACAAAAGAGCTTTCAATTACGAAACATTTATTTATTTACGATACGATTGTATTTGATCGATTTCAATTGTTAATATAAACAAGCATTATTGCATGCCCAATTATATTATTATAATACAAGGTATATATACATTTACAAGGAATACAATATGTTCACACCTATATGAGACATTTTTTTTTTTTTTTAAATTTCGTATATCCTAATATTTTCATTAAAATTCGTTATATTATATAATAATTAAAACCGTGTGTAATTAGAAAGATCGATTTAGAATACTGATCTATTATGTAATTTACGCGAATACATTCGCATATTATTTATAATTTCGATTCACGGGATACTTAGCGTATATTTTAATATTGTTTTGGTATATCGTCACAGCGATTCTGTGTGTGTGTGTGTGTGTGTATCGCAAAATCGTTTGATTTCTACTCGCTTATGTAAGTAAAATGCTAATATATATAATATAATATAATGTCTATATAATCTTTCCTAAACGGTATTGGTCATTCTGCTATACATTCATTCCATAAAAATAGAGAAACTATTTTTGAAATTACATTTTATGTACAATGTCTTTTTTTTAACGATGGTATATATATAATTTAAAATTGTCATCAAATATTGTTATTTTAAAAATTAGTTTTACATTTTTAAATGAAAATCTGGAAATAATTAATTCAATTCATAAAAAGGGAGATTTTTTTTTTAACATTACGTAAGCATATGCGCATTAAGGACGACATTAATGCGCATGCTCTTTAGAAATAGAAATGGGATTCCCCTGCTTATAAAATTCATTATTTTCTTAAAAAGAATTTCTTCAATTTTTGATATTTTAGTTTTTCTTTGAAGAAAAAAAACATATTTTATATATAGAATCTGTTAAGAATAAAAAAGAAATAAAAAATCCCTTTTTAATATATAATAATTTGTATTTGAAATAATTTGAATTTTATAATAAATTTTTACCGTTTAGGTGCGCAACAAAAATATTTTTCAATTATACACTCAGGATATAATTTCATAAACAAAAAAAAAAAAAAATGGTACACGTATTTTAAGGATCTCTTTACAAATATATTTACAAATTCTTAATTAATATATATTTACATAATTATACATAAAACGTAATAGATCATATAGTCACAGGGCACATGCTTTAAAAATCTAAAATTTATCCTCACAAGTTTGTCTTGAGATATATATATTTATATACCTATACAGGTGGGTCATTCCTCCTGAAATTGTCGTTTTTCTTTTTAAATTTATATTTTAAAGTATATATATAATTATAATTTATCAAGTAAATTCCCATTAATCTTGTATTTAATATTATATCTTACTTAAAGTATAACAATTATTCAGATTTCTACAAGAATTTAATTTCTAATTTTAAAAACACCTAATAATTTTCTTTCAAATAAGATTTTAAAAGATGTTTTAAAAAAATATTTAAAATAAATGTTTAAAAAAAATGTTAAAATTTTTTTTTTTTTAAACCTGTTTAAAAAATGTCTTAAAAATTGTTTTTAATAAGACAGCTTGAAAAAAAATCAAAATTAATAAGAATTATGAAATAATTTTCAAAAAGAAGGACCCATTAACTAAAAATATATCATATTTTACTTTGAGCAAAACATTCAGGAATCTTCAATTAATATTAATGAACAAGTAATGGTGGCTATATGTGAATTTTTAGTTTGTGAACTTTTTTTTTGAAATACTAGGATTGGTTTCGCATTTTCTTCTTAAAATATTAAAAAAAATTGATTATTAAAATGAAATCATGCTATAAATAAATTATAAATATAGAATTAATGTATACATAAATTATAATGTGATGCGCCCTGAATAAAGGGAACTTAGAAGCAAAAAATAATAAGGTTATAAAATTTTGAAGTGAAAATATATCAACCAAAAATTATTGATATATTTAACTCTACATTACATTCAAAATATTCAATAAAAATTTCTATGGTCCCTTTCTTCAGAGCGCGTCATATATTAAAATACATATTAACAGAAACAATTTTTTCAAAACAAATATTATTTTCCAAATGAAATATATAAAATTTACCTGGAACAGTGAAACATTTCACTATATATAGTATCAAAAGTTTTACTTGTTTCAGTTAAATGTTTAGCTAATCTAGTAAAATCTTTCGCTGTTTTAGGTAAAAAAAATTTTTTCTATGATTGCAGAGGTTTTTGAGAAATTATTTATTTCAAATAGAGACAATTTTTTGCAATAATGGAAAATTATCGTATCCACCAATCCTGTTTTTTAAACCAACAAAAAAATACCAGAATTATTTGAAAAACTAAACATAATCATAAAAATCACTATATATCACGCGCACTATTCCTCTAAGAAAAATTGTTGAATATAAATAGTCACATATTTACACAAAAAAGGCAATATAATATATAGTTCTCTTTACCTTTTTTCCTATTTTTGTTTTTCAGAAAAAATTGTACCACTCGGTGCTATCGCGGTATCCCATATATATATATATATACTCAAGAACTCAAAATTTAACAACTGACAACTCAACATTTTTTTTTTTCAATAAAAAACATCAGTAAATAACGACCTGTTGTAAATTGTCGATAATTTCACCGATTCCATATTGTTGGGGTCGATGTTACAGTGCTGTGAGTCCATAATCAGATTTTATAATTGGCGGTGGAACTGGCGTTGATAATCCAGGAGGACTTGTTGCCGGTGCCAATGGACTTATACTTCCAGAATTCATATGTACCATTGGACCACCAGAACCGTCCATCATTCCACCTATATGATGATGACTCAGCTGTGCTTGTAGGTGGGCCAATGGATGACCTTGAAAACCACTATGTGGACCATGTGGATGTGTAAGTCCAGAATTAACGCCATGTACATCGCTCATATCAAGACCAATACTACCATCTAAACTATTCTCCATTCCACTTGATGGTGAATTATTATTATTTTTACGTGAACTATTATTATTTCCACTTGCCGCTTTACCTCTTGGATTTGTTGTTTTATTTTTTGCCGGTTGCGATTGACCATTTGTATTTTTTCTTCGTACATTCTTTGTATTTGGTAATTTATTGTCCTTTTTCCATTTCATTCGTCGATTTTGAAACCAAATTTTTATTTGCCTCTCGGATAATACAAGTGTATGTGCAATTTCAATTCGTCGCCGCCTTGTTAAATAACGATTAAAGTGAAATTCTTTTTCTAATTCGAGTATTTGATGCCTTGTGTAAGCTGTTCTTTGACGTTTTGGCTCCATTCCTGGTTGATAAGATCCATTGGCTGTAACAGAAATGAATTGCTTTTAATACCAAAAAGAAATCGAGTAATTTTAATATTGGTGACAGCGGTGGGATTATACAAATTCTAGTAAAATGACAATAAAAATGACAATATCGCTTTTAATACCAAAAGAAATCGAGTAATTTCAGAATTGGTGACAGCGGTGGGATTACAAATTTTAGTAAAACGCCAACAAAGAGACAATATTGGTCTTAATACTAAAAGAAATTGAGTAATTTTAATATTGGTGACAGCGGTGGGATTATACAAATTCTAGTAAAATGCCAATGAAAATGACAATATTGCTCTTCATACCAAAAGAAATCGAGTAATTTGACTATTGGTGACAGCGGTGGGATTACAAATTCTAGTAAAATGCCAAGAAAAATTAAAATATCGCTCTTAATACCAAAAGAAATCGAGTAATTTTAATATTGGTGACAGCGGTGGGATTATCCAATTTCTAGTAAAATGCCAACAAAAAAGACAATATTGTTCTTAATACCAAAAGAAATCGAGTAATTTGACTATTGGTGACAGCGGTGGGATTACAAATTCTAGTAAAACGCCAATAAAAATGACAATATTACTCTTAATATACCAAAAAGAAATCGAGTAATTTGACTATTGGTGACAGCGGTGGGATTACAAATTCTAGTAAAACGCCAATAAAAATGACAATATTACTCTTAATATACCAAAAAGAAATCGAGTAATTTTAATATTAGTGACAGCGGTGGGATTATACAAATTCTAGTAAAATGCCAAGAAAAATTAAAATATTGTTCTTAATACCAAAAGAAATCGAGTATAATTTTAGAATTGGTGACAGCGGTGGGATTACAAATTCTAGTAAATTTTTCTGTTCCAGAAGAATGTTTTTATTATCATTTTTAAAACATAAAATGTAATCTTTTAAATTACTAATTAAAAGAGTACTTAAGTTGAGTATGGTATAAATATTAATAACTTTTTTTTCCATGAAGTTTAAAAAACTATTTCCTTTATGAGTTTATCACATGCTCTCACATTTCACAAGAGTAGAAATATATTTACATTTTGCTAATGTACATTTATCATCACATCTAAATGCATTGTTACTGTATATATATATATATTTTTTTTTATTTAAAAAGAGTCACTTTATTAAAAATTCATTCAACCATTGACCATATAAGATAAAATCGATGTATGTTACATGTTATCGTTGCTCGAATGAAAATGCAAATTAATATCGATTCAAGGTACAAGTGGAAGGAGCCCGTATATCTATGGTATTAATAATTAGTCTGAAGCTAATGAGTCTTATATAACTTTGAAAAAAATTAATTACCTTTTTAATAAACAAAATTATTTCGATTTGAACTGTTAGTAAAAAAAAATATATTTTTTTAATATGCAAATTTGAAAATATTTCTTAGAAATGAGAGTTCATGGTCCGTCAACATGTAAGACTTGAAAGTACTTCTCATGCATTCTCTTCTCTTCTATTTGAATCAGGTCAATGTAACTGGTTCAAGCAGGAAACTATGATTTTAGTTTTGCTTCGTCAACTATAATTCTAAATCGAGAACGGAAATTATTTTTTATTTGTTTAGAAAAAAAAAAAAAATTTCGAAAGTTTTCGGAAAAAAAGACCTAATTATACTTTCATTTTTTATAAATTAAAAGTTATGTAAATATTTCCATGTAAATTGACATCCCATTAATTATAAAAGGAGGAAGTTGTTTTGGCCTTATATGAAAAAATTCCATTCTTTAATTAGTCTTAAACTCGGTTTAAAAAGGATCGGCTGTCACATGGGAGTGTTTTTAATCAGCAGCAGCTGAGGCTGAAAATTTAAAATATATATGTATAGTAGCCGAAAGGCGTATCGATAAAGTGTCAAAAATTTGACTGAGAATAAGGCTACTGAACTGGACTAATATCGCGATAGATTCTTCCCCGTGTTCTTGAATAAAGTAGTCGTGCTTGTTTTTGGTTCTTTATTTGAAAATAAAACGATCTTGGTGGGTCCTCGTGACTCATAGTTATGGTGTGTGTGTATGTTAGTGTGACAGCGAGTATCGAACAAGATAACAAGATGAATATACAGAACAAGTATCGGTCACTCATCCATCCTCATCACTGACGATTACCGTTAGTAAACAATAAAAGTGAAACCGATATCATCAAAAATATTTTATATTCTATCCATACAAAAACTGGAATTCGATTCTGATGACCAATCATTTCCGATTTATCTAAACAGAGATTCTAAATTTGCCATATCAAAAAAAGAATTCAAAAATGTAAATTTTAAAATGAATCTTGTGTCTCGTATATCTATTTTATTTTTCCATTCTATGAACAATTTGGATTTCAATTTTTATTTATAACGCATTTGAAAAATTATCAATTTGTAACAAAATTATAGTAACTGGTTGCAGATGACAATTAGGTTACAAGAGAAAAATAAAAATGTCAATCATAAATGACATTCTGTGCATCATCAGCGACAAAAAATATTGTCTATTCACGGTTTGTCTCTAATTTATTATAAAAAAAAACTCGTAGTCACGAAACACAAATTATGGTTTCTCTAGCTTCAGGTGATATCGATATATGTCAATCGTTGAATGCCAATCTAGTGGGTTTTTGTTTTAGCTTTGACTGAAGAAAGAAAGAAGAAAAAGATGATTGTTGGTGGTCTCAGCTAAAAACAATTCTGTAAGGAAATTTTGAAGTCGGAATAGTATATAGAGGAATCAGTGCGAGCACATTCCATTCCAATCTGACCATGATGTTTGGCCCCTTCTGATGGTCTCTCAAAGTCTGTGAGTCCAGCATTCAAACATATATATGTATATACATATTCGAAGGGGAGATTGTGGTGCGCGTCCGACAACAGACGCGACGGCCATGCATACCAGAGTCTAAAAGCTACGTGTACAGCCTCAAACCAAGATTCAAGAGACCAACCGCAAATCCGTAATCAAAGCTAAGCTACTACATCTTTCATTCTGTATATTAAGATAACTTCAGTGTCCGGCAAAATTTTTAAAATAGAAATAAAATACAATTTGCGTTAGCAAACCAATTTTTTGGTATAACACAATTTTTTTTAATTGTCTCTGAATTACTAATTCTGATGACTAGAATTTTAATGTGACTTTAAGAAAAATTTTAATGAAGAGCAGATTTTGAAAACATTTTTTTTTCTGTTTCAGATGCAGCAGGATGTGACCAAATGCAGCAAGAGGATCATTGATAGAAAATAAGGACGATTATCAGTGTATGTATATAAAAAGTGTTTCTTTAGAAAACCAAATCGTATCAATATATTATCATTTTGGATAGGCTAAAAAATTATATGGATTTGAAATCTGTAAGGATTGCAAAGTACTAAATGCAGCAAGGGGATAATTGATAGAAAATAAGGACGATTATCAGTGTATGTATAAAAAGTGTTTCTTTAGAAAACTAAATCGTAACAAAATATTATCGTCGGATAGGCTGAAAACTTATGGATTTAAAATTCGTAAGGATTGAACAACTATATGGTTGTCAACATTTAATGGGATACAACCGGTTGTAAAATCTACATCCAATTTAGCAAGACAGTCATCAATATATAGAAAAATTTATTTTAGAAAACCAATTCGTAACAATATTCTCTTTTCGGATAGGCTAAAAACTTATATAGATTTAAAATCCGTAATAGGATTGAAAAGTTCCAAATGCAGCAAGAGGATCATAAGGACGATTATCATGGTAGGTACAAAAAATTGTTTTTTAGAATACCAATTATCGTAACAATATTCTCTTTTCGGATAGGCTGAAAACTTACGGATTTAAAATCTGTAAGGATTGCCAAATATCAAATGCAGCAAATCATTGATAGAAAATAAGGACGATTATCAGTGTTAAAAAAGTGTTTCTTTAGAAAACCAAATCGTATCAATATTCTCCTTTCGGATAGGCTGAAAGCTTATATGGATTTAAAATCCGTAAGGTTTTACAAAGTATATACAACTATGGTTAGAATATTTAGTATTTTTTTGCAGCACGGATCATCAATATAGAAAAATATGTATTAGAAAATCAAATCGTACTATTCTAACATAACCTAAAAGTGAATTAAACTAATAATTAGTTATTTCTCAAAATATTAGTATAGAAACATTACTGTGTCTAAATTAATAACCAAATTTTTCCTATCAAAATATTAATTTTCAATTAATTCTAATTTACATTAAATTCTTTCAATTTTGACATTATTTTCAAAGTTTATTCCAGTTATTTTAGTTGTATTTCTAAAATATATTTAGCATCAAAAAGACCGACGATACTTTGTTGTTCGTATACATATATATATATATATATATACAATATATGTATATAATAAGCCTGCTCCTGTCTAGTTTAAGTTTGCCAGTTGCTTATATAGCCTAGATCGCAGGCAATAGTTGCAAGTTAGAATGAGCAGCAGTTTTTCATATACATATAGTCAAAAGAGGGACTCAATATATATATATATAGGGGAAGCTGCAAAGCCGATCGAGACAGCCAATTCCGAGGAGTGTTACACGGCAAAAAATCGTTTTTTTTTTCAAAACCTCCCAGCCTGTGAGTTTTATATTCATTGTTATAGAACACGTGGCGCGAATTGGGATTTGTCGAGGCCTTATCTCAATTTTTGGGAAAAACTGAAATTCACGCTCATATTTATTTTCACAATGGCTATATAATAGATGAAAAACAAATTTATAACAAGACTATGAGGACAATTGATTTTTATTTTTTAAATTTTCAAAAATAACAGCAATATTTTTTTTTCACAGCCATATACTATTTTATTTCTATAAACAAAAGAAACAAAATTATAAAAATTTGTATTTTAAATTAATTTTACATAAAAGTTATTATGATGAATTAATAAATAATAATAATAATAATAATACTAATAACAATAAAAATAATTTTTAAAAAATAATAATAATAATACAATATATTTTTAGATATCGTAGGTAAATTTAGTAGAAAATAAATAAAATTGTAAAAGAACTTATATGGAAATATTTGTGATAATAATATTGTCAAAAGAAAAAAAAAAAATGAGTGTTTTGAAAACATAATGTGAACATTAGAAGTGTTTGATATATTAGACGTAACAGATTTATATTTTTGAAAAGTAACACCTAATGTGGGTCCACACAGGTGACAACAAGGTGCTTATACGATAAATTGCACCTCATAAGTCTTTTTTTTTTTTTTTCTATTTCCACCAAATCAAATGGAGATGGATATCCGTTGTCGAATTTAATGCGGTGTGCAACCTGTTAATAATGGATGGGCCTATTTATCACATATAGAATATATGTATACATTTTGCTTTGGGTCAGACACAATAGTTAATACTGATTCCCTTTTATTTGTACACGTATATTTATATTCCCATCTCATTAATTTTATAGATATGTATAAAAACAGAATCTGTTTCTCCATAATAATCGTGAAAAAAAAAAAAAATAATAAAATGATATTAATCCGTCGGACTTTTAGGAGATAAAAATAATTTTTTTTTTGTGGAACATTTTGTTTTAAGATATATCAAAAATTGTATATATGAAGCTATATTTAATTAATGTTTTGGAGTATTCAAAATAACATAAATAATCCACAAAATATGCTATTTATTGTTGATATGGGGACATTCAACAGAAATTATAAGACCATTAAAGAAAATTGTAGTCATTATATATCGGAGAGGTCATTAGTCGAATATATATATATAAAAAAATCATAATAATAGTAAAGGGTCACTTTAATGATGGTTGTAATTGATATACTTTTGGAATCGTATATCTGATTCAATATTCTCGCACCCTTTACACGGAACTATAATATTTATCATTATTTTTAATTTATTTTTTATTCCACAAATGGCATGAATAAAAGAAACGCTTTTTTATCGAATCTTTTTCTGTCTGTTGGTTAAATAAACAATTTTTAAATTTAATACAAACTTTTCTAAAAAGAAAATACTATACCAATTTTAGGTATGCATATATACCTAATTCTGCAAATCTAAATTATTAGTCAGAATTTATTTTCCGTTTGAATAAAAATCATTTTAAAAATATATGCATTCTCATATATTTACTTACCAACACCAGCGACATGAATCTTTTTCATCCATGCATAGACAACACGATTTCCATCGTCTTCCTCATCATCATCCTCCATCATTCCAGGCGATCCGTCCATGATTTGATCATCATCGCCGTCTTCCTGATCGGAACCCTCATCCGTATGATGTTGCTGATTTCCTTGCATATGCTGCTGTGGTAAATCCGGTGAATTATCCCTATGCAATGAACCAGAGCCCGCCGGACTACAAACATTACCATCGTGCTGTGATGGAAGTTGAATACTTTCAGATTGTCTAACATGATTTGTCATAATGGACGGAGATAAAGGCGTACTTCCCAAAACAGTTGATACTGGTGGTTGTTGCTGTGGATTATGCATTGTTGGTGGACACGTGAGTGGTGGTTGTTGTGCCTCGGGTGGCATTGCAAGAGCACCGACGGCATGATGATGAGGATGCAAACTTGGATGATGAACGGCGTGCACCTGGTGATGTGGATGATGGGGATAGTAACCACCATAGCCAGCGTAGCCACCATTTAATTGAACAGCTGATGAAGCACCATAGGGCGTTGACGCTGCCTGATGATGATGCTGATGATAGCCATATTGCAGCTGATGTGATTGTGGATGATTTAAATGATGACCACCGCTAAAAAAATCAGCACCAGCCGATGGAATGTAATTATTTTGACTGTATTCTTCGCTGGGTGGGAATTTTGGATCTGGTCCCAAATGATGGGATGGCTGTTGATGCTGCTGATGGTATCCACCAGCTGGATTCATTAGAAACGAACTCATTTTTTTTTTTCACTTAATTGATATACAGAAGTAAATTTTTGAAATATTAAACGCGCACTTTCACATAATTCACAGAACGCACTGCACTGCACTAGGGTCCATCGTTCTTCTTTTACAACCCCTTTTTTTTTAGTGGGGTAACTTTTTACCTAGAATTCTTTTTCTGTTTTTTTAGTAACCTTTCTCATATATACACTTTTGCAAGCCAACCGGTTCCCGCCCACCAGTGCCCAATTAGCATACCACGTGACCGCGGAGAACCAATCAGAGTTGCCCCCCGTCCGCGACCATGATGGATTGTCGGCACGCATGCAACATGTGAGTGGCGCCACAAGATCACTGTGGCAGGTGCACTAACTTTATTCTTTCGATCTTTTTTTTTTTTTTTTGTTTTACGAAAAAATCACTAAATCTCGCACACTTATGGATAATTATTGTCACTTTTTTTTTTTTTTTTTTTTTTTGAATTCTTGTTTGAATTTAAAAGAAATTTGAAAAATAATCACGATTGGAGAATTTATACGTTTTGAGAGAGTTACTCGCTGTGCCTCAGCACAAACTCGTCTGGCAACTCTCTGTTTGGTTCACGCTCCCTCCCAAGTTTGCTGCCTCTCGCGCGATGGCCTGAACCGCCACCAGTAGACCTATCTCCCACCACATTCGATTCTCATCCCCTCCAAAGGGGAACACGAGGCCAACCCCTGCCGCGCAAAACCCTAGATCCTGTACCCTTATGGGTATATGCATGCCTATGGGGGAGTCACTCCTACGGCTTTCCTTAACCCGCCTCCCAATGCTCGAAATCCACAAGAGGATTCATTCTTGAGAATAAGTCGCATATATAGTGAAAAATACCGGAAAAAAAAGGTAAATGCAATGTGATAAACATGTCATATTACATCTTTATATCTTTTGCTTTTGATGATGATCATCTAAAAGATAATTATTTACAATAAATTATTTGAATCTATTTTTTGATTAGTATATACCACGATGTTAAAAATTTTGTCTGAGAGTCACTGATGGGTTTAAATTGAAAATAATGAGAGTGCTTGTCATATTTTGTGGAGCAGTATATAAGATACACAAAGTATCTTTTGCCGCAGTTGGACCTATATACTTGTGGCGATCGGCGGTGAGCACTCGGCTAGAACTGTCGAGTCATCCTATAAAGAGCATTCTCACTCTGTTTTACTCGGGCACAATAACACAATATATATATATATATATATATATCTACAGTCAAACTTCCAACCGTTTCCCCTGGCGTGTTTTGTGCAAATTCAGAGGGCACATATACCTAGTCTTTTACCGAAATGTTTTCCCTTTCAAATATATAAGTATAGAAGGAAAAATGTGGTTTTCATTCTTCTTTTTTTTGAGGAGTATAGAAAAATGTGAAATTTATTTTCAATCTACTTCGGACAGCAGTTCGGAAAATATTCTGCTGTTTTAGTTGTGGGACAGTAGTCGGTTATATGTATAAACTTTCCGCTGATTAATCTACTTCGGACAGAAAGTAGAAGTTTACTTATAGAATATCTGCTTATTTTAGTTGAGACAGCAGTCCGCTGAAAGTTTCGTCGAACATTTTGCATATGGAACGAATAAGCGCTCTGCAATTTTTTCTACTTGGAACGCAGCAACCAGTTGAAAGTCCATTAAATTTATATTTGCGACAGAAAATATAGCAGCAGAAATATCTATTTCTATTTATAGAAATCTATTCTATAGCAGAAAGTTTGTCAAAAATTTTACTTGGAACAAATATAGGCGTCTGCAAACTTTCTGATATCTTTTTTATATTTGGGACAGCACCCATCAGTTGAAACTCCATTAAATTTTCAGTTGGGACAGAAAATAGCAGCCGGCGGAAAATATGAAAACCTGTTTGTTTAATACTTCAGAAACAGTAGCAGTCTACTAAAAGTTTATCGGAAATTTTACTTAGAAGAAATAAACGTCTGTAAAATTTCTTCAATCTTTATTCTACGTGGGACAGCATCCAGTTGCGAAAGTCCATTAAATTTTTATTTGCGACAGAAAATAACAGCCGGCAGAAAATATGAAAACTTTTCTATTCGTTTACTTAAGACAGCAGTCCGCTGAAAGTTTGTCGAACCGAAAAAAACATTTCGAAATTCTACTGGGAATAAGTAAACTTTCCGCTGATTTCTCTACTTGGGACAGAAAGTAGAAATTCACTTACAATCTGCTTTGTTTATTGAGACAGTAGTCCGGTGAAATTTTGTCGAACAAAACTTCAATCCCACTTGGAAAGATTCCCCGGAAAGTGACCCCTGGAGGTTCAAACAGAATTCCGTCGGAATTCCATCGGAGTTCCAAAGAATTTCCTATGGGATTCCGACGGAGTTCCGACGGAATTCCGATTAATTTTTTTTTTCAAAATTTTTAGAGTCCTAATTTCGTCAGAATTCCGTCGAAACTCCGTCGGAATCCCATCTAAAATTCTGCTGAATTTTCCATTTGAGACAGAACATATAGTACCCGCGGCGGAAAATATGAAATCCTTCTGTTTGTTTACTTTTGAGACAGAATTCCGCTGAAATTCTGCTCACCTAATATTTTACTAGGTACATCATATATATCATTCCGCAGAAAGTATGCAAACATTCTGACGTTTCGCCTTTAGGATATTAATAACTTATACAGCTGAAAGTCAATTAACTGGGACAGAAAATAGCAGCCGGCGGAAAATATGAAAACCTTCTGTTTGCTTATACTTGAGACAGCATTCCGCTGAAAGTTTGCCTAATATTTTTTATTAGGGACAAAATATATATTATTCCAATGAAGTCTGCAAACATTGTGATGTTTTCCTTGAGACAGTAATTTGCTGAAGCTCTATTAAACTTGGGACAGCATATGCATATGAAAGTCCACTAAATTATTATTTGATTTTCTGTCGATTATTATTCCTACTGCAGTATATACATAACAATCGGCAGAGAGAGGGAAAAACTTCTTTTTTTTACCTTGGGACAGTATTTTGCAAACTATATGATTATTTGCGACAGCAGAGGCTGAATTTTTCACTTGGGACAGAGAATATCATTCAGCGGAAAGTGGGAATAAGTTTCTGTTGTTTACTTATGAATATTTCACTTTTGGGACAGCAGGCCACATTTAACTAGAAATTTGCCAATTTTCTGCTATTTTTACATGAGACAGCAGTTTGATTAAATGTTTTATTTAGAAAAAAAGTTGTACATATTTCCAATTAATTTTTACCTGGGACAGCATATGTATCAATACGATAAAAGTATATTGTATATTTTACTTGGGACAGCAAGTATATCAGTTAATTGAAAATTTGCAAACTTTTCTGCAGTCATTTGAGACACAACAGTACTATAAATGTTCGCTGCGTAAAAGAAATTTACCTAAAATATAGTGATACTAATACTTTTGCTATATACTATATATATATATATAGTATAGCAAAAGTTTTACTTGTTTCAGGTAAATATTTCGCTATTTTAGTGAAAACTTTCATTGTTTTAGGTATATATTTTTTTCTGCGCATATTTTATTTGGAAATGTTTGTCCGATCGAAGTTTTTTTGGGACAGCAGGTGGCTGAAAGTCTAATTTACTTGTATTTTTGTATTAAAAATGGAGATGGAACAATATTTTAATTAGGAAAAAAAATATTATATCTTAGCAGCAAGTAAAATTATACCGTCATATTTAAGTTTAAAAAAAAATGTTGATTGCATTAGAATTTCATGAATGTAAGATTTCGATTAGCCGCGCATATATCTTGTTTTACTTTACAATATATATATATATATATATATATATATATATATATATATATATATATATATATATATATATATATATATATATATATATATATATATATATATATATATATATATATATATATATACAAGAATGATTCCGCAAAATAAACAAATGAGTATAAACGGGAACGATTGTATAAGCCTTTGTGGTAAATCAAGAGATCAGGCATCGCAAATAGTTTGTTATTTAGAATTATCATCAGGGGTGTACAAAAAGATCGCAGGGTCTCTGTACAATATATAATTGAACGTTGTTATTTCATATATATATATATAGGGAGGCAGCCGTATATAATAGTTATAAATTACTTTTGGTTTCGAGGCGAAAAAAAAAATCGACTCATATATGAGAGCTGCAAAAGTTTATTTCGATTTTCTAAAAAGACCCTCTCGAGACGCGCAAGGAATCAATTATAACCCGCCGCAACAAACTAGGAATAAACGTTTCTACCAGATGTCAGGAGAGGAGAGAATTGAATACGTAGAAAAATTTAATGAAACGCCAACTAAACTGCATTACAAGAATATTTGTCGGGTGTCTTTGACATTTTTTTTTTTTCTTCACTTAACATTAATAATTGAAACATTTTGTAGTTTTATTTTCTCTCCCTCTCTATATATATACTATACTCTTAAAAGAAAAAAGGGAAAAATTTTTCTTCTTTGATCAAAAACTTATTAATGATCATATTTTTTTTTTTTTTTTTGCTAAGAAAAATAGTTTTTATAAGGGATTTATTTGAAATATTTTTTTTTTAGCTCACTGTAAAACGAAAGGTATTAATTTAATACCAACTTTAGGTATATACTAAATTGTTATTTGTTTCTATTTTGATATATACCTAAAATCGGTACTGTTTTACCCCAGTTTGTTATTATATTGAGATTATGTTTCTTTTTAATTAAGAGAGCATGCGTAATTATACTTTTGCGCGCATGTTCAGAGGGGAGAAAATTATTATTTTCAGGTTATGTTTCTTCTCTTTGATTAAAAGAGCATGCGCTTGTGTTTTTGCGCATGCTCAGTGGCAGAAATAACTCACACTGATAGCGCCATGTTGTTTATTGGTTCAACTATATATATATATACAGAAAGTAGTTTTGATTTTTTTCGTACTATAGTATAAATTTTGTTACAAACTTTTTATTATTTAAATTAAAAAAGAGGTGATTCGCACAAAAAAGGTGAAACTTTTTTTTTATATATATATATACAGAAGCTATACATAATTCTGAAGATCATTTTGGTTCAACGATATGGCGATATAGAAAGCGATAGAATGAGAGCATCTGAGCGTCCAGGCTTTTCGATCTGTGAGGGTGGCAGTGGGAGTAAAAAGGGGGTGTCATGCCAGCGGGTCGGGAGAAGTGATTGATTGTGTTTTACCGGAAGAGTAGAGAGCATGAGGGAGAGGGTGAGGATCAGGGTAAGAGAAAGAGAGGAGATTAAAGCATGAGAGAGAAAAAGAGAGAGACAGAGAGAGAGAGAAAAGTTTTCGGATGCTGCGATGATAGAGACGAAGTAAACTCCTCGACCCGCAAAACGAGGAGACAGCAGCATCTCGCCCTGCGCTTTTCCCATTGCATATACACACATATATATATATAGTATCAACCCCACCCCATTTTTCATCTCAAAAATCCAACCCCGTACCAAAAAAAGTTATCCAGATTCGCAACTTGAAGCTTATGTCTTTTTCTATATATCCTAGCGAGTATTATCAAGTGGACAGAATAAGAAAATAATAAATAAAGACGCACACAACAGTTT